TTTTATAAATAATTTTTTTTTACACGATTATTTTCTTATATCACTCAAATTTGTCTGGAGAGGAATCGAAGTTTCAAACACTATTGAGAAAATTCTAACACTACTATTATAGATTCACTATGTCTACATTACGATTTTTAAATATACACCTATAACATAACATAATAAATATTATAGGTAATTGCGTTTTCGTACTTATTGCACGCAAAAATGCCAGGAATATGTAAGGTCTATATAAAAAAAGGGTAATAAATCAATTAATCTATAAAAAAAAAATCACTACCGTCAAGTTGTCTATGTACACTGTACAATGTATAGTATAACGGTATAAACGCAAAAGAAGGTACTCCAAAACATTAAGTATTACCGTTAACGAATTACAACATTATGCTGTTTTTTCCTATTTTTTTTTTTTACATTATTTAGGGGTATACTTAATGGTTATTTATGTATTTCATATTAAACTCGAAGCGTATAGATAACAATCATACGATATAATATATATGTAGGTAATGTATAAATATATAAATATAAATACCTCCCATCCCACCTCTATATACATCATTAAAACTAAACGATTGTAAAAAAATATAAAAATCTATGTAATTTCAAGATCTAATTTCCATTTGAAGTTTTAGGGTCAAATTAATAGTTATAATAAAACGATAGGTACAATCGACTATCGCTGCAACGTGCACGATATTACAATAATAATCTAGTTGCCAACAAATTATTTAAGTCATAAACTCATAAGATATCATAATAAATATGATATAATAACCGCATTCGTCGAATGAAGACCTGTAGTCGTGGACCACGTATATAGTATATAAATATAAACAAGCTACGTGAACAACAATAATTTATAACAATGATCGCATTTAATAGAAAGTTAGCAAAAGTGCATGATATTCCCTCGCACTTTTAATTGCACGTTTCTATTTTGTCAAGGTCATACAGTCTCTTAAAATATATAAGTCTATAGTATACACATTACAAATTGAACAAAATTCTAAAACATAAACATCAATTCAAATAGCAATAAAATCAAGTCTGACTGTAAACGTAAAAACTGATATTACAATATTAATAATACAACTTATTTAAACTTATAATATTGATTGGTAGGTAAAAGGATATATAATTTATATAAACAATAAGTCACATTTTTAACTTTGGAAACATTCATCGTAATAAACACATCAATATTTAGTATTTTATTCTCGTAGTCTATATATCAATTAAAATTCAATGCAATACACTAATTCATAATTCGAATTCCACAAATAAGTTTCGTTGGTCATAGTCACTATAGACAACATAAGGCGATCAAGTGTAATCAAAAAGATGAAATCTAATAAATAACATTTTTTTTTTTTAATATTAATTTTAAAAAAAAATAATAATTTTACTAAATATGCAAAATATACAATAACGAAAAACATAATATTTTACAAACAGCCATTTCAGTCTTCGATATTGTATTAAAGGGTATAATTGAGTAAACTATAATAACCTTAACATTGTTTTAGTGTATACTGTAATAAGTTATTATTAATGAATGATAACAAATTAAATGCTCAATACATAGATACCACTATTTTGTTTTTAAATAAAAACAAATATTACATTTTCTATACAAAATAAATTATTTTTGTATTTGTTTCAAATCCTACTATATAATATTTTAAATTAAGTACACTTCGTTTTCGATTATAATTATCATTAGCTGTTATTACCATATTTCACAGAAGAAAAGTATGAATTAAAACAATACAACAAAAAATAAACATTAAACAAGTTTTTCTAAATTAACTATTTATTTGAGTTTTACCTAAATATTTTTTGGATTTTAAATCTATTTACATTTAAAAAACTAATGTACGTTTGGATAGGGCTTATAGACTCGAAAACTACTGAACCAATTAGCATTAAATTTTTCACACCTATTCCTTGAGACGTAAGTAGTATCTAAAGTTTTTTTTTAATAGATTACTATGTGGTGACTCATGCATGAATTTCATTCGAATTCACAAAAATGTAATATAATTTTTTTTTTTTTTTTTTAATAATTGCCATTGGTTACAGAAATAATTTTTTTTTTTTAAGATATAGTATAAATTAATCTCGATCTGATTCTTAAACATATTAAAAAAGTTTAGAGAGCAGTTTAATCCACGTTCGAAAATGTACCAAGTATTTTATCCTACCTATTACAAATGGATTGATCATTGGTCAAATTAATAAACTAAGCAAGATCACCGATAAAACAAGGTTATACATACAGATAATTAAAATATGATTAATAAAAAAAATTGTATCATAATTTATTTAGGATTAATTCCGAACTTTGATACATTCAAATACAAATAATGAATATTTTTAACATTTTATTTTTCTACATTATGTTCATATTCCCGTCTTACGTATTCTTTATTTCTAAACAGCATAAAATTTGTTAAGCAATTGCCAATTAATTATAAAAGTATTTGAAATAACAACATTAGTTAATGTACCTATATTAATCCGATTAGGTTAATTAACCTAATAGCAAATACCAATAATAATAATTTACATAAAAACACATAAATAATATAACAGGTTATATTAACGATAAAATATGTAAGAAAGCGCTTTACACGCCATACGTACATTTTATATAAATTATGTTATACCTCTCCTAAAATATTCAACTCAGAAACACTTGAAAAAATATATTTCGAAGAAGATTTGCAAAATATTAAAAGGTTTGTTTTCACATGCATTGTTCTAAGACATTATACTTTCACCTTGGAAATAATATCATGTTACTATATATATATATGTTGTTTAAGAGTTTCAAACCATAGACGAGCGTGAATTGTTGTAATTAAAAAAATAAACACATTTTACGTATTATGCTATATTATTATACACTTTCGGAATAAATCAGATAAAACCAAAAATATAACTTATATATTTTATTAACAAAAAATGCTGTAGATAATTTAATAAAATTGTAATAAAATGGAGTTAGATACATATTATGGGCATCTAAATTATATAAAATAAAGTTGTAATTTCCCATTTCAAATATCTTTTCTGAGAATAGTATTTTAGAATATTGCATTCTGTACAATGGTGAAAATAAGGCAGACTAAGTAATGGCTGTGATGTGTAGTACGTAATAAAAACAAACGTGTAGTCGAAAAATTCTAAATTTGGATAAATATACGTTTAATATATTTAATTTCCATCTTTTTAACTCCACTACAGATTATATAAGTATCCACCTAAATGTACATTATCATATGCAGGAAACTGCGGATTAATAGAACCAGAGGAGAGAATGAAAAAAAAAATATGAAAAATACGAGGATTTTTGAGGTGACATTATCATGCGTTGTTGTGTGCACAGTTTTTGGTGCAAAGCACTATACGATTCGTCAACCAGACGGTTCAGAAATACATTTTGGCCAGTCGCCAAATTTTGGACAGTCCAAAGCGAAACGGTCATTCGACCTGAAGAATTTTCTTCTTAAAGCACCCGCCCCGCGCCGCCGAATCTCCCGACAATACCGCCTGTAAGGTTATTGCCATCGTGTTAAACTGCCAAATCGGCTTTTGAAATGCACGAAATTCGTTAGAACCATACTGCAACCGTATTACACACCATTATGATGATTAAATGTGACAATCCCAGGACTACTGCAGATTAATATAAACGCTCAACCAATGCCGATCTACTCATAAAATAATAAATTGTTTTAGATGTGTACCTAAGGGATAATAAGATAATATTGAATATAGTAGCCATTAACTCTTAATCTGAAGATTATTCATTATACCACCCTACAAACAAAGGTGTTTTGATTTGAGCGACCAATAGTCTATGTAATGGTATTAAGATATGGAACTATGATAATATATATTATATAAGTATCTATTGAAATTTAAATAAATATATTTAAATTACTACTTTATTGTGCATAAGTAACTAATAACTTTTCGTATCCGTTAAATCAACTGCACATTTGGTATTTCCTACACTGCCCAATTTGAGTTCTGTGTTTCGTTAAAATAAGGTTTGATAATTTGAACGACGTAACAAGGAAATTGAATTATAATAATCGACTTAAAAAACACGAATTAAATGTAGGAAAAATCAATAGTTATACACTCGCACGTTATAAGTACTTAATTCGATTAAATATGTGTCTCGTTGATACCTAATGGCTAATTACAATAATATATTATAGTATACATATTACATATATTATATCGTATTGGTAGTTGGTAACGTTCCAGTGGAAATGTACCTCCTAACCTAATAAATAGCGTAAGTGATAAATTATAAATATTTTTAAGAAAACTTTTTGTAATATTTTTACTTTTTTATTAATATATTAAAATACCTACAAAATGCACTTTTACATCGTATATTAAAAAAAAAAAAAAAATAAGCATACGGCTGAAATACAAGCGTTATTCCAGTTTTTGACTACGAGGGGGTGGTAAAATTCAAACAAAAACTATTCGTGACCCCTTTTGTACCACCCTCCCGACCGACGTACTCGTACAACGTTATTGAAGGGGTTGTTTTCGGTAAGTGTCAATTCACCACTTCCGACGAAAAAATCACGATTTTCTTAAGAGAAGAAGAGCCAAACCAAGAATCCTCGGTTTTTTCAAAATGGACGTGATACGACTAAACTAACGAATAATAAAATAACTGCGAAGAATATGGTCAATGTGGTCGCATGAAAATCATCGCAATGCATTGATTGCAAACAGAATTCACAAAAAGTTAATTATTTCCGTGACGACGTAGATAACGCTATAATATTAATATAAACGATAAATCCTTAGCCGTATACCCATTATTCTTCGGTAACAAACAATACCTTTACGAACAATAATATATTAATATCTATAACGAATATGACACGACGACGAAATAAAAAATAAAAACATCTTAAACTTAACACGTAATAAACGATTAAACTAATAAATCGTCTAACCTTTTCTTTGGCCCTTCCAGCGTGTTTGGATACGGATTTGGCGATAAGGGATCCCTTGCTCTCGGCCATGACGTTCTGACTCGGGTCACCAATGCACAACAACTGATTCATGTCGTATTGTTGTGATCGCCGTCGTAGCCGCCGCCGCCGCGTTATCACCGCCGCCCGACGGCCAGGGCCAGCACCTGCTGCCGAACGCGGTCCGGTCTGAACGTAGGAACGCGTTTACCGCGTATACAAGTAACGACCGACCGATCGCTGAAACTGGGACGACGTCCGTTTGAATGTTTCGCGCGTTTCACACGTACTCGTAAACGATTTTATACAATTGGTTGATGGTTGATGCGTCGTACGATCAGTCACCGTACGATTGAATATTAGTATTATTAATGTGTATTATGGTGATCTCCGAGATCGACGACGAAACACCCGTGAACGGCAAGCGACACGGTTAACAGACGCGGACCAAATAACGTCGGCACGGTTCGCGAGGAGCGGAGGCCCGCGGTCCGCATTTCTCCTCCGCCCGCGATTGGTGCCCCCCGTGCAGTGAGCGTCCCCCCCGGAAAGCCGGCGGAAAACGGAACCGTAGAAAATAACAATGATGACGGAAAAAACATAACCGAATCGCTGGAAGGGAAATGCATTGTGCTGCTGCTGCAACGCCAGAGAAGCTATATTGCCGCCGTCACATAATATAATACATAATAATAAAAAATAATAATGACTAAAAAAATTATAATAATAGGTAGGTAGGTAGGTATATGAGAGACATGTACGTCATACGCATTTATGTGTACATATTATATTATTTAATCGACGAACGACACCCATATAAGCAAGCCATAACGAGACGTGTGTGTGTGTGTGTGTGTGTGTGTGTGTATGTGGGTGTGTATGAATGCGAGTTCAACGTTATGCATTCAACCAACTGAAGACGCTTCTGGAAGATGTAATTTTAATTTTTTTGTCTAATACGCATAATTATTTTGTAAGCCACAAACTCTACCTGAAATTTTTAAATGGTGAATTCCATTCCATTTCTTTTCATGAATTTCCATCAATACAGATGACCCAAAACCTTTTCGTTAAATGTTCTCCAATAAAAACTACATTATAAACAACTGTACTGTCAATCTTATAATGATTGCGAATTATAAATTTGGTTTTGATTACTTTTAGCAGTCTTTAAATATTCGTAAAAATGTAATTAAATTTATTACTTTTATACAATATCTATTGTACTATTTGTTATTATAGTATTTTTAACATCTTCTCTTGCTATAATTTCTATATTATGTATATTATTTATTACTATATTAGAACTTAGATATTAAATTTTTTTGAGAACTTACTATCCGCATATTATATTGAATAAATAATAAATAGGTACAGTGTTTTTACTTCGTTCAGAATAATTTTATTCAATTTAAAAACAAAACATTTTTTTTTTTTTAATCAAATATATCATAGACCAGTAAGACAATAAGTCACTATTCTATATTAATTTATAAAACTAACCAATTTAAAAATCTAACCATAATGTTGTATTTTAAATACACAAATAGGTACCTACCTCTGAGATAACGCCTCTAATAGAAATTATGATTATTATTTTTTTTTTAATTCGTTCATTTTAATAAAAACCATTATAACTTATAGTTGATACCTAAAAATTTAAAATGTCCATAAATACGTAAAAATATAAATAAGAATTAAAACATTTTAAAAATACTACAAGTTACAAAATGTCTAGAAAATGCTACTACATAATCCAATTTAGTAGGTATTAGGTATTATAACTATATAGAACCAAAAAACAAAACCACCTTCAAAGTTGAATCATTTTTACTTCCATTGTTCCAAAATTTAATGAAACATTGCAAAAAAACACTCAACTCCTTTAAAACTGTGGTTAATCATGATTCTTATTTGGAGAAGGTAAACAAAACCTGATCTATTTTGACCATCATGGTTTTTATACTACTGTTTTATAAAACCAATCCATTAATCACCTAGATCACAATCTAAAATAAACAAGTTATATAAACTGTCTGCGAGTGATCTACCGTATAAAAATAATATCTGAATACCCATAGATACACTTTTCACATCTCGTTTTATAACTAAAAGTTAAAATATTATATATTTATATGTACCTATCTATAATACCAAACACAAAATAATAAAGACAATTAAGATTACATAAAATAAAACTTTTTAATTGTTTCATTTCTTTCTTTTAAGTAGTTATAAGTATATAATTAATATCAATTAAACATATTTAGTTTGTGGTTCGATAACTGCGAGTAAATCAATATAAATAGGTATATGCCATTGTTTAATGATTTTATACCAAAGAGTAATAACTGATAATTCTTTACCTATATGATTAACACACAATAGACATAATATTTATGTAACGTTTAGTTATTGAATTTACGTAAACATTACAGCAGTAACTAGTAAGTAATAAATAATAATTTAATGCGTAATGCATAATGCAATTGTAATAAATACATGTACATCGTACATGATGTATTACTGTAAAATCAAACTTATCGATGAATAACAAAATATTAAGATAGATTGCCCATGTATTGAATAAATTACCGTCCGCGATTTTTATACAAATAGGTGTAGGTACCTACTAAGATTTTGAAAGCAGAAACGATGAACGTAGATTCAAATATTCCGCAGGACCTGTTACTTTTAAATTATAGATACTGCATTTACATATTCACTATAAGTACTAATTTAGTAGATACTATACACTAATAAAAAATTTTTTTTCATTTATTCAAGAGAGGCGCGATTGAATTTTTTTATTTTTGGAGATGCGTGAATTAAAAAAGTTTGGGGAACCACTGCTATAGGCTATATTATTACAGTTAAATATTACTAGAGTACAGATTTTAAAGGCATTTGCTTTTTTTCTGTTGCTTTAAAACGAAGCTATGTCAGTTATAAATTTGATTTATATTACTTAGAAGCAAACGCACGAAATTAAATTTTGCTTTTTTTGGGGTTTTTTTAGGTACTCTGTTTGCTTTTAAGTAACATTTTGTAACTTTTTTTTTTAATGTGTTCTAAATAAACGTGTTTGAAAAGTTATTATTAATTTTTATACTATGTAATGTGTTCCAAGGACGTAATGGCTCAATCGATTTTATCTCGTCATATTTGATTTAATTTATCGATTTATCGATGAAGATACCCGTTCAGTCGTTTTTTTCACGATCTTTCGTCGTGCACTCGTGTGTCAATTTGTCACGTACTGTATATAAAAAAAATAGATTAATTTTATCTAGTATAACGACAATAAACACGATAATATTTTCTTGTTCTGGAAATTATCTACTCAAAATAACAGTTTAATTTTCGTTCAAACTCCGTGTAGTTTGTTATCCTTACCAATTGTCATTAACAAAATGCCAAAATGTATTAACTGAAGTGCTCGTCATCGCATTTTTGCAAAGATATTTTTTCTTGTTATAATGTTGTACTTTTTTGCAAAGTAATAGGGTCTTAAAGTTTCTGTCAAAAAAAAAAAAAAAAAAAAAAATACAATATTCAACATGTCGCTAGACATAAACGCATGCAACAACTTACCCTTAAAAATCAATGAAAAAAACCAAAATCTCAGATTCTAGTAACAGTAGGTGTGTCAATAATAAAGTTAACATTCAACGAAGAACTATGTAATGTTTTTTATACGCAATATTCCCTCACTAAGACTAAACTAATATACCTACCAATATTCCGCGGTTGTCTGCATAAACATACTAAACGCTAATTTTATTATATCCACGCTTCAAAAAAAATGTATGATCATGCCATGTAAATATAATTATTTAAATTACAAATTACATCAAAAACAAAAATACATGAGTGTCAATAGATATAATTATATAAGATTATCGATATTGAATGTTTTACTGCTTTACACCGTAAAAATGTTTTTAAAAATTTGGCTCGAATGTTCTTCAACCACAAGCACGGCACTAGAATTTTTTCAGGGGGGGGGGGGGCAGAGCGGTGCAAATATTTTTTTTACATGGGCTAAGATTTTTTTCTTATTTTACAAATTTCAAAACATATTTTATTAAAATTGTAGTAGATTTTTCCCTTATTAAATAATAAATTAATCCACCGTAAAAAGACTGAAGATGTTATTTGTTCAAACTTCATTAATTAAATTATTATGATCTATACTAAATTCAATTTATTTAGTAGTGACAAATATATTAAATAAACTAAATATTGATATTTTACGCAATATCTGTTTATGCACCAAACAGTAAATGATTGAAAATCTTAAAACGTTAAAATAGTTAATAAAAATGTATAAAATTGCATCAATACCAGTAGGAATAATATTTTTTTAAATAAAAATTTGTGATTACCTACCTAATAAGTAATAATATTATTTAACAAGTAAATTTCAAGTTTTTAGTTCAATACCTACATTTTTTAATTTGTATTTGCATAGTATATTATGTATTAAAGAATCTACTTTGTATTTTTTGTTGAATTTTGGAGGTTTAAATATTTCATGGATATATATTAAAATGTAGATACTTAAAGAAATCCTTTCTTTTTATTAATTATTAAGTAACTTCTTACACAATATTAGTGTATTAATTAATCATATTAAAAATAATTAGTAAATTAAAAATATTTTTACTTGTATACAACAAACATTAAATTAAGTTAATAATATTCTACGATTTTTGTGTATAAAATGTTAATATTATTAAATCGGTTTTTATAACAGCAAAAACTTAAAACACATATCTTCGAAAATACGAAAGTATTTACATAATATTAGTAATTTTTAAAAAGTATAGGTATTTCATAAATTCTCTGATGTAGCTCTTTTAAAAATAATGTTTTATGATTTTATTACATGGTACATATTTTTTAGTAGGGGGGCTGGCGAAGGGGATGAATTGTTTTCTGGGGGCTAGAGCCCCACCTTACCCCTCTCCCCTTGGTGCCGTGCCTGTTCAACCACCAGAACCAATTATTACTGAATAGAGTACTTGGTTAAATGCTGTCAACTATTATTATGAATAACTTTAACACATTAAAAATATTTGTAATGATTTAAAATTTAAATGATTATAAGAAAAAATTGTGAACTTTATGTATTCATTTTCAATAATTTCCATGAGATTGACTAATGTGAAACCATACATAACATTGTAAAGCTTTTTTTAAAAAAAAAAACAATACATATTCAAATATTTGTAAGTGTTATACAAAAGCCAAAATATTTTAAAAATTATACCAAGTTTAGTAAATATGCTAATATTAATATTTCAAGTCACTACCTACAGTAATTTTTTTTTGAATGCCTATCACAACAAAAAATGGTTTTGCGAAAAAATATAAAATTTCCTAAAAATGTTTTCGTTTTTGTTTTTTTTTTCTGATTATTTTGAACTGTTGGAAAGTTAGATACTATTTATTACCATAAACTACCCATTTTTACTACCAAATTTGAAGATCATACAGTATTATCTGTAAAATAATACAAATTTGTTTAATTTATTTGAATAAAATACTATTTTTTTTTTTTAATTGAAAAATAATGCATTTAATCATTTTAATCTGATTTCATCATTTTATTAATATAATAATATATACTACATAACTACTTACATGAAGATTACAGTTTTGATTTAATATGATTAGTTAAAGTTATAACTGGTGAACCAGAATAAATAAAGCAAAAGAATATTATTGTTTACATTTTTTTATAACAAATATTAAGTGATCTTTTGTTAACAATAAAAATATAATTTAAATAATTACAGTAAAACCCCTCTCATCTGCCCTCGGCTGGTCCGTCGCTCCAGTTGATCCGACCATAGTATAATCAATATGAATACTATGTAATTTAAAAATACAATTTGGATTTTATATTTTATAGAAGATATTATATAAAATTAATTGTTAGTTTAATATTTCCCTTATCGATTATCCGCTTTAGTACTCCGACCTTTCTCGTATCGTTTCTATTGGTGTGTGTATTTTGGAATATTGCAGTTAAGTCTAGAATGTCATTTGCTAAACAAAAATCTATAACTGACTTTTTTTCTAAGTAATGTAAAATATAATAAATTTCTGATATAATCTTGTATGTAATATGTAAATAAAAAAATGTTCTGTATATTCTGATAATCTGACCTTTTCACATTCTGACCACACCTCCAGTCCCAAAGGTGATGAATTATAGAGGTTTTACTGTAATTAACAGTTTAAAAAATAAATAAAGTAATTGTTAAACAGTTATTTTACTTTATCTAAACTTTTTTTAATAAATTATTATTAGAGAGTAAAATGTATTAAATTATTGAACAACTCAAATAAAATAAAATACATAGAACCTAAAACCATTTTTGAAAATAAATAACAAACAATGTATAGATGTACTGAGCCGGTTTTTAGAACCTAAGTCTTACTTTTTAGACAAGCGATCATTTTTTCACAAATAAAAAATGATAATGCTCATCAAGCAAGATCAATTATTTTATGTTCCACTGTATCCGAATTCTCTAATTTATGCAATAAACACATCAGATCATCTACCCACTTGGGTTGTGCATTCATGTCAGAGTTTACACATACTAATTGATTTTTGCAAACTTTATTATTTCTCATTGTACTACTTTCTGCAGTAGACAAATTTTGCGAGCAATAGGAACTTGAATTATAAACTCTGGGCACAGTTTTAGTACAGTTAGAACTCAATTGATCTAATAAACTTTCAAACTCTGTAATTTTAGTACTTTCAGTATATTTAAATTTTTTAGAGCACGGTTGTGGACTTTTCAGTCGTTTTACTCCTCTGGCGAGTGTTTTGGAGCTTAATTCAGTATCTTTTTCAATATTATCATTGTCAATATGATTTTTATTTTTATTATACTGTTGAGATGTATTCAAGAAACTTTGAACAAGACGATCAGGAATTGGAGTATTTATTTCATTTTTGGTGTATTCTAAAGCAAGTATACCAGCTTCTAAAAATTATAAAAATATACTTTATACCTAGTTATCATTATTATTATTCATAATGCCAAAATATATATTATACCAGTCAACTGAATAACTTTTCCGCTACTTAAAATAGATGATACAAAAGAGGTTTCGTCTACTGGTTCGATAGATTTTTCCAGTAATTTTAAAACGGAATTATCGCCATCTAAAATACAAACACAGCCAATCTAATAAAGTAATAATAATAATAATAATAAGTTTTATTTATATTTACGTTTTAATTTTGAAATATCTAGATAAAATGATTCATCTCCATTATTAGATGCCAAATCAGGATCTAATATTGTTTCACAATTACCACTTTGCTGATCAACAATCTTATCAAATATTTTTGAATTAGATTTTGATTCATCATCTGTCAAAAAATGTATCATTTAAAATCTATTAAATAAATTTATAATATTACTATTAGCGTTTTTTTTTAATTTCAGAACTCGCGTCTATGTTATTTATAACCTTCCACAATGTAGTATACTAGTATGTAGTTGTTTTAGTCTATTATCTAGACATTTTTACATATCTTCAAAGAATTGTTCAAAAAGGTTGTTGGAGATGGGCGTCGCCCGAGTGCGCCTCGTTAATCATATAATTAATAATAAAAATAAATTAGCACCATTGTAATGTATATGCTCTCAACGCACAAAAATAGCAATATATGGCTGTCTGATTGCATGAACGATTTTGTAATGACTTAGAAGAACATCGCACACGTATTTGTTGTTTTTCCGTCTTACACACGTACGACATAGTAAATTTTCGTTCACCAGTTTCAATAGTGTGCTTTTAGTTTTGATATTTGAGTGAATTGATCTATTATAAAACTTTTAGTTGAGAACTTTATCTGTGTTCTCTCGTTGGTTATTTACGATATTTTAATTTTTAAGTTATGACTTATGAGTATATAAAATATAAATATTTTAAAATAAATAATATAATAACTATATACCTGTATATATAATAACTTACATAAAAAATAAAATATCGTCAAAACTAACGAGAGAACACAGATAATGTCCTTAATTAAAAGTTTGATAATAGGTCTAATTCATTCTAATGTCAAAACTAAAAGCACACTATTGTAACTGGTGAACGAAAATTTACTATGTCGTACGTGTGTAAGACGGAAACAACACATGCGGGTGCAACGTCCTTTTAACCAACGAATTTCAATAGCTTCTAATATTTTTAAAACGGGGTCATTAATTATAGTTTGCACTTTGTGAAGCATTTCCTTGTGTTTGAGAGAATGGTGAAATATTTTGTAAATATATTTTAAAAGATGAAACACGCATTTAATTTTTGGAAATTTAATCTAATGGTTAGTGCAAGGTGATAATATGTGTACTCAATAATGTAAAACTATGTTCTCACCCCTGTAGTATTCCCGAATTCAACACTGCTTACAATGTACAGAATCTAACACATGACATTGTAAAACTAATACATTTATTACTTTACTCAGAATCTAAAAGTTGAAATAAATATTTTCTTTGAATAAAGAGTTTAAAATTAAAAATATGCATAAATAAATAATATAATTATTAGATATTTAAATGGTTTTAAATTGTTCAATTTTATCTTCAAATTAATGTAGGTAACTAATATTATTAAATGAGTGGTTTTTTTTTTTTCTATTGCAATTTAATTATAACATTGTACTATGAATAAATCTACAGAATTAATGTACCTACAACTTACTAGTTATTTTAAATTGTGATGAATTTGAGATAGTTTTCATTTTTGTTCTAATATTATTATTAATCTGTGGATTTGTCTGTAAACATTGGTCCTTATTTTTATTTTTGATAAACTGAAAATAGAATAATTAAATAAAAGTTATAAAAAAAATTATAAGTTGTATGATTAATCAGATTTGATAATAAAACAAGTTAATTAATAAATTTAAATATAATTCTAAGCAAGTTATAGTAAATACATTTTTAAGACTATTCATATTTCATACAGTAAGAAACAAAAATTAAAAAAATTACATTATCTATTAATTGAAAAATGTCCAGACATGTTATTTTGGCAAGTTGTAAAGGGGTTTTACCAAACTTGTTTACAGAAGTAAAATCAGCTCCCTCATCTAATAACTTTTTAACACCTTTGATACATTTGCTTGTAACACACCAGTGTAATGGACTATTGTGAAAAATCTGAAAAATAAAATAATACGACAACGAATATTTAGAAAATTACTTTTATTAGATACATTTAACAAAAATTTCTAGATTGGATAATATATTTTGTACCATTTACATTAAAATATATTTTTTAATGTATTTATTTAATTTTAATTTTGTGATTCTACTTTGAAATGAACTATAAGAAATATTTAGTATGTAAGTCATCATTATAGCTAAATTTAAAAATCATAAAAATTATTATTGATTTTGATATATACTTGAATCTAATCCAGAACATTTCAAAATTAATAGTTGATATTTATAGTACTTTCAGTCTTACGACTTTAAGGTTTTTAAAATAAAATGAATATATTCTTAATAAGGTACTTATATTTTTTCAAGGAAAAATAATATGAAAAAAAATTACACCTTGTCTGTAGAATTGATATCACAGTGAAAATTGTTCAATAAAACTTCAATGCACTCATATGCACCTTGAGCAGCTGCAATATTTAAAGCAGTACGTCCAATTTTATTCTGAAAGTTACTTTTATACGTTTTGACAGTCTTTAGTAAATATTCCAATACTTTTGGTTGATTATTCATAGAAGCTAGGTGCAAAGCATTGTTTCCAAACTTAAAATATAGAATGGAGCAAATGTTTAATAATTTAAATTTGAGTTTTAAGCTTGAAATAAATATTATTTACCTTATCAAGGCTGAATGGTGATACGTTATGAAACAAGTTAATTTTAATTGTATTCAAGTCACCATTTATGCATGAATGAAAAAATATCTCCTTGGCTAATGACTTATCCGTAGTCATTATTGTGAACCTTTTTAAATTTAATTAGTTTTAATTTGATAAAAGGTGAAACCAAAATTTTTCAAACTTAGAAATAATGCATAAATTACTTATAAAATGATAAGTTATACTTGTTTTAAAAACTTTGAATAATTAGCTAGAAAATTAACAAAGCAATCAATAGTATTTTATTGGAACAAATTGTATATTTTTAATTTTTGAGAATATTACTTTGGCACTGACTGCAATTATTGATAAATCAAAATCTTTTCGTTCTTGGTCATAGCCATTGAGGCATTTATCTCCTCCTATAATGACAGTTTCTTGGCCAAAATATGCACTATGATTAGATCAAAGATTTTCCTGAATAAAAGATGATAGGTATACTGAAACAAAATTTAAAATAGTTTTGGTTATACAAAATAATAAGAATACCTAATAATTATTTCAGAAAATTTTGATCTTAAGTGAATTAAGTCTCAGCCCTGAGAAAAAAACCACGAATATACATCTACAGGGTTAATCACCAAGCATATTCATTTCTATTTTTTCATTTTATTATTACCTTATTATTCATAATCCATAAAGTTATACTACTCAAAAACTACTTATTGGAATTTTGATTTTGATACATCAAAATTTATATAAGCTAAAAATTTTACTCTTTAAAATAGGAGTTTTCATTTACAAAAAAGAAATTTGTCTTCACAAAACTTTACTTAAGTAGGTAGATACCTAGTTGAATAAATCTCAATATTTGGATAATATAGTCTCAAAGTATTTTTAAAAATTGCAAAAATCAAATTTTGAATAACTAAATTAATAAAGAAAAAAGGAAGGAATGTTTTTTAAATCATCATTTGTATAATATATTAAAATACCTTGGCCTATCAATGATGAAACGACTTTAAACATTACATAATGAGTAAGAGCATTAGAACTAGATATAATATTATCCTTTTTTTAGTAAATAATAATTAATATAATTTAAGTAATTTATCTTGACTGACTTAAATTAATAAAACTTAAATGCTATACTATTATAAGAATAAAATTGATTATTAAAAATTAAATATTAGGTTCAACTAACAAGTTTATGACTAGCTCAACTAGCAGTCAAATTTTCCGTCTGATAAATAAAAAAAATATTTATAATTTCCCAAATAAATAAATCATCGTAAGTGACATATATATTTTATAGGTAAATACTAAATTATAATTAAAATAATTCGTTAATATTCTTACTTATGTAATTTGCAGTTTGTAGTTTGTATATAGTGTTTGTACTGTTTATTGTTAACTTCCACGGGTTTGCATGGACTGATAACAGAAAATGGATAAGCGTTATCATATCGCGTATCAACATATTTGATAAGTATCCACTACCAAGTACCAATCAATGAGAGCAGCTAGACTGCCAAGTTCGAAACAAATTTACAAACTAAAAAAATTTAATCTTAATATCTTGAACTGAATTTTTAATTTATCTATTAAAGTGTAAATCATTAATTTTAATATAAATTTATAAAAACTAGGTATAACCATGAGTAAACTAAACAAATTCATAAGGTAAGACTGTAAATTACGAGATTATAAAATTTTTAAGTAACAACTTACTCCTAGGCCATTGAATGACCTTAAATAAGATTTTAAATTATACTGAATAGCCTTGACATTGATTTATATGACTTTATGTCTTATGTATTTTTTTAATTTTAGTTTCACTATAAAAGGAGCATTATTCGGAGCAACGATATTTGGTTCACAAGAATTAGGTATATGGAAAGATGGTGAAACATCACGTGAAGTAGCAAAAATCCTCATTGCAATTTTAACTCCTATAGCCAAAAAAGCAGAGTCAGAAATGCCACAACAAGTAAATTACTATTGCTAGTATAATAGTTCTAAAAAAAAACTTATATGTAAAACTTGTGTTTTCAAGGTAAAACAATTGCCATCTGTAGAAAATTTAAAATCCACATCTACGGCGTGTTGGAATAAAGGTGTGTACAATGCTGGCGAGTTTGTTATCGATGTACCTAACAAATGTGTTTGTGCGGCAAATAAAGCTTATGAATTGGTTGAAATACAAATGAATAAATCTAAAGAAAATTAATAATGATCTATTATCAGATTAAGTAAATAAAACCATGTACCATGTTAATATTTAATAGAAATTTGTGTTGTAACTATTTGTAACAATTTGTTTTTGAAAGATGAGTAGATAATTTGTTATGCCATTTACTACACTTAATTCATTCAATATAGAGCGATTAGAATTACAAAACATTTATGTGTACCAAATATGACATGTATTGACGTGTGAATGTTATTTCAATTTTTCATTTTCAATATCCACATATTATTTTGTTGAAAAATAGACTATATAATAACTAGGGTATTGAAAAAAGGAGTAACATATTATTTAATTATAAAAACGAAATGTATGTACTTCATGTTTTAAATATAAGTATATAAGTATTAACTTTACAACTTTTATAAAACGTCATAGTGAAAACTTAAATGTAATTATATTATTTAAAAATGTTTACACAATAATAATGTGTACGTATAATTAACAATTATTTTATAAATAATTAACAAGTTTCACGTAAATGATAAAATAAAAATAATAATAGCAATCAATAGTGATTGAATAAAAACAAATTTAAATGAATGATTGAAATTTTTGATTAATAAAAATCTAATCTATGCTTTGTTAAAATTACAAAATAAATGTTTTTAAATACTATTTTTACGATATTCAACAAACTTGGGATGTTAAATAATCAATTTACTTGACATTAAGAACTTGATTTCAATATTTTAATGTGTTTCACACATGATTTATATATAAACATATATATATAAAAAAAAAAAAACAATATATATTATAAAGATTTGCTTTGCTTCTAGTTTTAAATAAAATTTCATAGTAAAAAAATAAACATATACACTGAAATGTTTTATACACTTTATTTAAAAACAAGTCAAGTAAATTACAAATAGTTTTGGAAGGCAATGTAAGTTAACAGGATTTTTGAGTTGTTGATTTAATAATAAAATTAAAAATATATAAATTTGGTCAATATTGATTTGAAACTCTAAAGCTACATGATTTGTCTTTCATAGAAGTTAATAAACGTTCCATAACAATTTTACTGAACATTTCTTGATTTTCTGGTTTAATCTGTTCATTACATTTGTAATTCGATGTAATTTAATACCAAAACATGTTTGTACATAATTTCTATAAAAATGAAAGAAAATTGTTTAAGCATCCACTTCCATTTTTTCAACTCCTGTTTTTGATGGTTGATCAATATCCATAGAACAGTTTTCACCAGCTGCATTATTAGCATTTTTTTGTGGCTTCTTCTTCTTCTTTTTCACTGGTTGCAAAATTCCTCTTTGATTTACAGATGTCTTAAGTAAATTCTAAACATATTTTATCATTTATTAAAAATATTGTATTATACGATATCATTAAGGAATGTATTAGTATTACTAATAATTATTTAATTAATTTTTCATACATGATTGATCTCAACTCCTAATTACTTAAACTATATTCATTTACAAAATTATAGCGTGTAAAGAAGTCAAATTTAATTATATTTCCAAACAATTTTTAAACTAAGAACTTTTTTGTTTATCGTAATATAATTTTAAAAATATGAACGTTTAACTCACAAATTATTTATGATCACAATAATATACTAAGATGATTAAATATTGGAAAAACTGAACAAATTTATGCTATGATTTGTTAAATGCTGTAAAAATTGCAACTAACAAATATTTTATCTTTTATCAATTTAAAATAAAATACTGAATTTTCAGTATAAAATTATTCAATTATTATTTGATATATTCATCAATAATTATAATAAAAATAATGACTTGTTTAATTGTATTAATGTCTGTTCAAAAAGCATACCAATATTTCTGGGTCTTTAATGGATAAATTAGGCACATAAAGATCCTCTTCAAATGGTAATCCAGTTATTCGAGCAGGTCCAGTTGCTGTTACTAACACTGTAAACTTATATTGCACAACAATTTCACCTAATTACAAATATTTGTTTGTCAAGAATAAGTTTATATTATATTTGTGATCAACAAAACAAATTATACCAGTTTTTTCAAAAAGAACTTGAAATGGTTCAATAAGTTTGTGATTTACACATTCCATCACACCCATTTTAGCTTTCTTTTCATCCTCAAAATTTCTCAAATTGAATGGCATTATACTATGTTTTTGAATAACTTCAGTATAAAATATTCTGTAAAAAGAAAAAAAAGATATTGATAATTAAAATCGTTTTTGATTCAAAATTAAAAAATATTAATTACCTAGATGCCCTAAGTTTCAACGGGTACACTTCTTCGGTCTTTTTGAATACAGATACCTTTGCTGTTGTTTCGCGAGCAGCTCCAGTTCCTGTACTAACAAGTACATCTAAGGCATAAACTTCATTGGCTTCAATAGTTGCTTTTTCGTGTTCTTTTCTATGCGATTCACTAGGATTTTGAATTATAGTTTTGGGGCCATCTAATTTAAATTGCTGCAACTGATGGCTAAGCATACCTTCAACTGGCTTACAATCAAATTCTTTGCAAACCTTCATTACCATATCAGTTATTTGGTATGTCTATAAATAGATAAAAACATAAATTTATATTTTATAATATTGTCTTAGGTACTTTTATACTTATAAATTAATATCTAAAACCAACTTATACTTACATCATTTCCAGGCCTCATTAACCTTAATGCAGCTTGAGATGCATAATGAGCAGCTAAGAAACAATTAGCTTTTTTATCAGTGATTTTATTATCAGAATTTGCTCCCACAACAATAGTATGAGCTATCATAGAAATGAAACCATCTAAATGAACTCCTAAATCTCTGAAAGTATACAAAACTGAATAAGTTATTTGTAATGATTTGTTAAATTTTAAAACATACATCTTTAAAACATCATCCTTTGCAATTATATGATCTGGTTCGCTTGTAATAGGTGAAAAATGGCAAATGCAACCATTTGCAGATATACAAACGGGAAAAGCAATACCTAAATAAAGATAAAAATTTAGAAATATTACTAAATATAAGATGATAAAATAAAATAAAATAGGTACCTTTTTTCATTTCCTTTTCTTTTTTAAATACTTTACTAGTCTCTTCTAATATTAAATTATCACCAAATATACATACATTACGAACTGATGCACCTTCTACGCATTTTTCGATTATTTCAACAAGAACACCTATAAAATAAAAAAAATTTAATAGGCTTGAGGTGATAATATATTATATGATAAAACTAAAATAGTTTTTGTAGAGTAACATTGTTAAAAATAGAAAAATATACATAATTTACACTTTTGAATAAAGGTAAAATTTTTATCATTAATTTTGTGGTCGACAATCATTTCAAATTTACATTTTTTGTAGCAGTAGATGCCGCATGCATTACTAGTAACATACTGGTATCAACAATGCTAGCGGTTATAATAATTGAATATTGATCAACGCATCTGGAATTAGCTCATGTGGACACTACCATCAATAGAAAAACAAATTCATAATAGTCTTAGATGGGGATGCAGTAACTTGATAGGGGTGGGGACTCGTGGCCACGTATCATCAGCTATATCCTGCGAGATGCAAACGGTTTTCCAAGGGACGACCAACGTTCACGAATCTAATAAAGTCCTCCAGAAGGGGACATCCGGCTATGAAGTCAACTTCCGCGCGACCACACGACCGAGTACGTGCGAAGTTTTGTAGGTTAGGTCCAATGGCCTGAAATCGAGTCAAGCAGCAAGAGAAGTCAGAGACCGGTTATCGGGGCTGTGAGCAAATGACTTCCAAAATGTGTGAATCGTCAATACTGTATGGTGAATTCCGAATAGACCAACTTACGGTTGGCGATTTCCCCGGCGGTCTTGTATTTGATCACCACAGCCTCGTCAGCGATCGTCGCTTCCACCTCGTCGTTGTCCTTGTCAGCCATCGTCGTTTAAATGGACAGAAAACTGCAAAATACGAAACGCTATCGTCTTCGATCCCTCACTACCTCACTAATCAAAAATCGTACAACGCGAACGCACTTGACCAGAAACACACGTTTCTCGTCGATTGTCGTTATAATGTGTATTGTGTATGGTACACGCACGACGCACCGAACTATATATTATTATTGTGATTTGTAAGTCTTGTAGTAGATAAACGTAGTGAAGTAAGGAGTGGAAGAGAAAAAAATGCGGTAAACAACAGAACGGACCATTCTAATTCAGTTACAACAACTTGAAAAAATAAAAATCCCACAGATATTTTCAAATGGTGCTACTGTGCTAAACACGAGTCTAAATTTAATACCTATTTGAAATTTCAAATGTGTTACATTTTTATTTTCCAGTTCGAATTAATATATGGACACATCGTAATTAATAATTACGCAAAAAATACAGGATTGTCACCGGTTGCGGATTTAAGTATAGGCTAAGTAGGCCGCAATCTAAGATGGCAACTCCAGTCTCCAGAGGAAGAATGCCAATTTTGTTCACTAATCATAAAAAGAAATTCTTATGGTTTATAAAAATTTATTTTTTCTGTAACAAATTGAATTTTATTTTTTATTTCATAATTTTATTTATATCATTGACTAAAAAACTAAGCTTGAGTAAAAAAATATTAATAAACAGTTGAACCCAATGCCTTGCCCGCAGTTATCAAAAATCTCATGACAGCTCTTAAAGAACCGAAATTTTATCAGCTATTCGACACCAATTTTGTATTTCTTGTAAAATTAATAAGTATGTAAAAAAATACGGCGTCAAACATCAAGCTGAAGCTTTTCCAAAGTACATTAGAAATCGTTTAAGATGCTATCGCTTAATACGATTTCCTGCATAATACGTTTGTTTTTACGAGTCTCTTGATTTTGATAGCAGTCAACATGTAATATGTAAATGACTCCAATATATTAAATGATTTAATAAGGCACCGCTACTTAGTCTACACTATGATGTGTACGTACCATACAATAAGGATGTGCTTTTAATATACACTAGTATACTAATAATCACTCCACACTTGTTGTTTCCCCGCAACAAATGCACTTGATTATGTACACTCTACACCAGGCATGTCCAACCTTTTTCAACTGGCGGGCCACATTCAAAATGTATACTTATTATTTGTACTGCGGACCGTATATGCTTCATGGGTTTTTTTTTTGTTCATTTCGATAAAATATAGACTAGTCATAGGTATATCTATTGTACTTACACTTCTTATTAAGAATTGGCGTTACACATTTCACTCCGAACATTGAAAGATTCGGTAAAGAAAAACAAGCCCAATAATTTCTTACTAATTTTTTTTATTAATATTCTAAAATTAAATGCATTTTTTTTATATAAAAATTCAAAATTGTAAAATATTTTATATTCTTAAAAACTTAATAAAATACATTTTTTGTAAATAATATTTTTATTTTTTTTTTATACCTATACAAATTTCTAATTTTTATAAAATGATCACTGGCCGGTTGGAACACCTTCGCGGGCCGCAGGTTGGGCATACCTGCTCTACACGAACTAAAAAGATTCATTGCATTTTCTGACAATGCAGATAAAACATTTCAAAACATTAATAAAGTTGAAAACTTCCTCTACCTACTCAAAAAATATTAAAAATGCAAAACAAACAAAAATTGATAATTTTTTTAATGTAAAATAAAGTATGTAATTTATAGGTATATATGTAAATATAAATTATAGATAATATACAATTTGAAATAATAAAAATAAAATTTAATAATAAGTATGTATGTTTAGTATACGAAACTTGTAAAACTAATGCAATTATATTAAAAAATTAAAAATTTTGTGCACAATTTTTATTTGTAAATTTTCTGGTATTCTCGCGTAATACGATTTCTCGTATAATACGTTACTTTTACCTGGTTCCTTGAAAAGCGTCTTATATGGATTCAACTGTATTTATAAAGATGGCGTTGAGAAAAATTTTGTCGATGAATGTGTTGAGTTTCACTATGGTTTGAAATCATTAAAAAATGAAGTTCCAAAGTCAGCTATTAAATTGTAAACGGGATTTAAATGATAAGTTAAAAGACATGTTTAAATATGTGATAAAAACACCACATTAGGTTTTAGAAATAAACATAATATGTTTTTTTTTTTTAAATTAAAAATCCTTATCAAATATGCTAATTGTGCAAAATTGTACAGATTGTATATATATATCGTGTAAAAAAAAAAAAATTTAATTTCCTACTGATTTTGTAGGTTTTTTGAACAGTGGCTATTTAAACATTACGAGAGGCACTATTATAATTATAATCTAAAAGGAAAATTATACGGAAATAAAAATTCTACAGTTAAAATTTAAGATAGGTAACAAATTTTTATTTTTTAGTTTTCTTACTAATTATTTACCATCTACAAAATAAAACCAAAGAAGAAAATGCATAAAAAAAAGTTTTTTTTTAAAAAATTGATCATTATTTATGAGCTTAATAATCTAAATCTAAATCTAAATCTTGATAAAATGGAACAGCACAATTACCAGTTACCACACGCCAGGCTGTCGCAGAACCGAGAAAACCTACATTAAAAATATTAGACTTAATCTCTACAATAGAAATTATAATTATAATTATTGTAGAGAAAATAAAATAAAGAACAACTAAAAATAGCTCAGACATAAAATAAATCTATTGTTACTATAACAATTGATGAAAAATCAAAAATTAATAAATTGTAGGTAGGTAATAGGTATATAAAATATAAATAAATTTAATAACTATTATAATATATCAGTAAATGCGATTAAAGATTAAAGACCTTGAAAACTGTGGTCACAGGTGATCAGTTTTAAATAGGTTTATTAATTTATAATGATAATGGCTGGTTGATATAAGTCAAGCAGTAAAAGTTAAGATAAAGTATTAGGTTATAAAACATTGAATAAGTATATATTGTATAAAAAAGAAAAAAAAAAAGAAAAGAATTTTGATAAATTGATGCAGTTACTAATTGTATACAAATAATCTATAATACTCAGTTTATTAAACCAGGCGTTTTTATGTTGTCTTACACAAAAAATAATTAATATAAAAATCATAATTCCATAATTGAAACTCTTCTTTGTATCATAATTATTTTTTAATAAAAAAACAAGTATATATTGGATATATTTACCTATTGAGTAATACAGTATTTAAATGAAAAATTGATTGAATAAAAACCTGTTAAAAGAAATTTTATTAAAAAATAAAACGCAACAAGTATTAATAAGTAGGTTAGTATTTTATTGAAATAACAAGTCATAAACATTACAGAACTATTATCTAATTATAAAATAATTATAATACATGCACATAATTATTTTCGTTGCTCAATTACTTTGTCTATATTATAGCAAATAATTTTTTTTTTTTAAATTAAATAATATTGATTCAAACACAATATTTTAAATAATATTCTTGGATACAGTATAGAAAAATGAAATATAATTAAAATATGTATTTTAGATATGTAATGATTACATTACAACATTGTTACGTTTTAATAATTGGAGAAAATATTATAATATTTAAATTAAAATAGGTTTTTTTTTAACAAGAATAAACAAAAATTATTTTGAATAAATATATATGGCAATGAATTATAGTTGTGCGAAAATTTAAATTTCAATAAAAAGCAGAATTTAAAAAATTTATGTTGAGCAAAAAATTTCCAGGCCACAATTCAAATGAATAGTTATTATTATAATTATTGACACTTTATAATCATTAAGTTCTCATGTACAGTGAATACAAACCTAAAATATAGTTATTTGCAATACAATAGTCACAGTTATATATTGTGCAAAAATAAGGAGTATAATAATTATCACACTAAATTTAACTATGTAAATCAACATAATTAAATGATAATTTAATACAAATAGTATTATAGCATTTGTTAATAATAGATCTAAAAATATATGTTCTATTAATACGAACTTATATAATTTTAACATTTAGAAAGACACATTTGTAAAAAAAATAATTTAAAATTATAATATTATATTAAGTAATTATAAATTTTATTAAATTACAATGTGTCCCGAAATTGGTTACCAATGACCACATATTTTTATTTTTTTATTACAATACCGTGTAAGATTAATAGATTTGACACTAAGCTCAATTCTTAAGTCGATTATTAAAATAGAAAAAATCCTACACTTACAAATTTATTAATATAATGTTCATAATATACAATATAATATAATTATTAGAAGTATAACAATGATTATAGATGATCTTAAGTAGAAAAATACTACAATTAAACAGAATTAAAATAAATAATAAAAAAAACACAATATAATTTGCATTTGGTATACATAACATTGGCAAGAATTACAAAGATATTATGTAACAACTAAGAGAAAACAAATTAAAATCAAGTCTCATACCTGTTAATGGCAAAAATATGTCTTGGTAATTTTTTTTACATTCCCAGATGTATTAAGAGATTGACTAGTCATGTTCATTATTAAAACAATCATGATAAAAGTATCTATTGAAATTAAGTACTAAATATATTTAATATTAAGATGTAATTAAATGACTTTCATGTTAATAAGTATAAATTATTTTAAATAAATATCATTCACGTATACTTGATTGGACGGAGGTTATTGACATTCTTAAAAGAATACCAAACATAGATATATTTTTTATTTAAAATACTTAATAGATACATTTATGAAAAATATTTATTGAAAAAATAAAAAATAAATATATATATATATATATATATATATATATATATATATATAAAATTGAGAACCAAATGATTATGTTTGCACAATTAACTTAATACATAAAAATATATGATATTCAATAAGCTACTTATAAACAATATTAAAACATAAAGTTATATGAATTATCTGTAAATTATCTAAACAGACATAATTTGTTAAAATTTATATATTGTTGAGTATTCTCTTTTGCTTTTTTTTTAACTTTTGAAAACATTACTCTCAAAATGCATTTCTTGAAACTCTACTCACCTTAAATTATTTATATTTCAATCATTGCTAGCCACACTGTCAAGAATTTAATTTTTTGTGTAATAATATCGTGTCTTTTTGTAATTTATATAATTCTTCTTCAATTTTATCTGTAATTACTTTACGAGCTTCTTCTTCAGTCACATTGGATTCTTTCAATTTTGTGACTAATTCTTTTAAATCAATAGGCTCGCCAAAATTAAATGTTACTTTACGACCAGTTCGTAAATAATATGGTGGTTCATTAGGTAATATAGTTTCCATTCCTACATGACAAATAGGTACAACAATAGGAATAATAGGGGATTCATATATCATTTGACCAACTCCCCATTTAAGGCGTATGTAGGATTTGCTCATATTAACACGACCTTCAGGGAAAATATGCAGCCATTTACCTTTAGACAACAGTTCTACACCAAACTTAACAGCCTCCTGTAACAAAATGAATAGCTATTATAAAATCAAATTTTTTATTATATAAAATACATTATTTTTAATATTGTAGATTGTAACTAAAATAAGAAATATATTTATTTAAGAGTTAATTTTATTTTTAATTCTTTTTTCTAATAGAAAATGTACCAAATTTTTCATGCCATTTTATCCATAAATTGGATACTAGATAGTAGATGGTATTTCAGCAAAGACAATTTATTTAATTTCTATACATAAACAAGAAATTGTTAATATTTTTATATTGTTTAATAATTTAAAAATAATTTGGACTACTTTTGGTCTAAACAAAGAGAATGAATAATTTTATGTTTAATATTCTTAAGAACAATGAATATATTGATTTTATAATGATAAGTGGTTTTTTTTTATCTTTGTGCCTATTTTCCACCTTTTGAGGCAGCAGTGAAAATGGTTTAATATTCAACTTATAGGATGGTTTTTTATTAACCAATTGAATCTAGTTTATACTTTAAATTAACAAAATATTAAAGAAAAACAGATATTTTTACAGAAATCTAAACTTAGAAAAAATTGATTTTGTTTGGTATAACACAAAAAAGAATAATTATAGATACTTTAAATTATCACTAAATATTTATATAATTTTTATTATGCAAAGTTTTCAAAATATTTTAAATTTTTAAGCTATTTATAGATATTTTATATACTTGATTATTTTTAGTTTTTTTTTTCTATAAAAGTTGGTTAAAAATTTCCCACAAGTTTTTTTACTACTAGTAAAAAAAGTTTATAAAAGTCACATTCTTTGTGAACGATTGAAGTTAAAAAATGTTACAACATTGGATATTAACTCGTAAAATAACTATTACTTGTCAATTAATTTTTTTTCTATTAATGTTGATAAAATAATTTTTAATGGAACAAAAATCTTATGAACAAAATTACTCATAAGTATTATAGCTATTTAAGAATATTAAAATTATATTGCATGATTTTATTTACAACCATTTTACATTCAAAATTTTGAAAATTCACAAATTATTTTGTTGCTAAAAATGTATAAAATGTTCAATTTTTATAGATTAAGTTTGAAATTTAATAAATTGAAGAATTCTTACTGTAACTAAAAAATCTTAATGATATATAAACATGGTTTATTTTTATAGATATTTTAAGATCAGGTATTTTGTTTAAATTAAATATTTAAACGAAAAATACATATTTTAGTTGAGCATAATAATTTAAAAATATTATCCGTGGTTAATTGAAACTTTTAAAGTATATTATTATATTTTATCCACATGGTAATATTTACAAATATATACAAACAATATTTTTGTTGAAATTAATTTATATTACTAATAATAGATCAGATAACTTAATAAACGAAGTTATATGCTATTCTAATCATAAATAAAAAAATTGTTTGAAACGATCGTGTTAAAAAAACATTAAGTTCTAAATATTGACAAAATTGGATATTTTTATAAACCATTATTTTTAATTATATAACCTGAAACTACATTACTAACAATGCAATTAAAAGAATTAAATTAAAAAGTAAATATACTAAATAATAATTTTGGCACTTTATAATAAAAATTAATTAAAGTAAAGGGACCATTTTAAATCTTAAAATATACATTCAAAAACTTGAGATTTAAAAAACATATTTGCTATAGAAAAAAAATTAAGGTAACAATAAAGTTATAAATAATAATAATTTATTTATACAACAGTAAACATTGATTATATAATTAAAGAGTACAATCAGATGCCCTAACTTTCTAAAAGATTCATGTATATGACACACAAATTAAGTCGGTATGTATTATATATAAATTATATTACAATACAGGGTGATATACTAAACATTCTTAATGTGTTTTTTCTTTTAACTATGTTATTATTTAAGATCTAAAAATTTTTTAAATAATCAAGATTTTTAGTACTATTTAAAGAGATGGAGATTTCATGGTAATAATAACTTTTTGTTTTTCAAATGAGATCCACATTTTTTATATTTTACAATATTTAGTTGATAATTTTTTGGAAAACTTTAATGTATCTAAATATTCAAACGTATTAAACTTTGTGTTCTAAGGATAAAATCTAATGATACTAGTCCAGACACCCAGCCAGTAATGTATTCAGTATATTCTATAGGAATAGCTCTATAACTACCATTTTTTAAGAGTAAAATCATTATCTTCTTTTTACAAGAGTAATTTTTATTTGATTCTATTTACTAACTTAAAAAAAAAAATATATGTAAATTAATTATTAAAGTATCTTTTTACAGAAAAACAAATTGGATATTCAAATGTAGTTTAAAAATAACTTAAGAAGAGATGGAGTAGAAAAGGTAATGAATTGAAGATGCATATAAGTAAAGAAAACCTAAACATGCCACTGCATTTAAGTTATACAAACAATTTAAATGTATACTTATACATTTAATTTAATTTAGTCATGTTTTAATTAGTTATTAATTATTATTTAGACAATTATAAAAATATTGTAATTTACTTGTAATAACATTGTATTCTATTATATGTAAAAGCATATTTTTAGGATGTCTAGACATCCCAAAATATTCTTTGGACCCTTTATGTTATCGAATCAAATGTTAATCATCAATATACATTAGTATTAATTGTATTACATAATTTTATTATTAATTGTATTACTTTTCAAGTTTTTCAGAATTCTGGTAATAGTCATTACAATTTATATCATACAATAATGACTGACGTTTTTCATGTTTACTGTTTATTAAATTGTTAGTTCATTCAACAGATCTATATATAGATTAGAATTGGCTGTATTCTATAGTTTATTGATAGGAATAAGTATTCCCACAATTATTATTATATAATTGAACATTTGGTAGGAAAAAATTAAATCATTAGTAAATTAATTTGTATGAAAAAATGAATTGTTTAAATTAGTAAAATAAAATTCAAAGTGTAATTGATAAGACACAATACATCAATAAAAATTTAATTAACATAAATTATATTAAACTATTGCATAGAAATAAAAACATTTATTTTTTCGTACAATTTTTTTTCTATTTTTTATTTTTTAATCTGGTTACTCTTAATCTAAAATCTAAAATTTCAATATTCATTATCGATATCTCTATACTTCTATAATATCTTACACATAGGTTAGTCTAGTATGTTATATATTTAAAGAAAAAGTAAATACCCCATATAATATTTGAAATTGTATTTTATTTAAATCATGTTGTATATTTTCAGCTTGTTACTATATTATATTGTATGTAATTTAAAGTTCATGCTTATCTTATAAAAAGTATAAGCTGATTTTAAAATATAATGAAAATTAATTTTAACAAGTTATTTCCCACAATATTTGATACCAGCATTTAATTTTTAAAATAAAAATTAGTGTTTAAATAAATAAAAAGTGTGATGTTAAAGAATCATTAGAAAATTGTCTTATTTTTTACAAGTTACTATAAAATATTAGTTGCTAATTATGCTGTTATTAATTTATTGGGTACAATTATTATTATCATTATTTGAAAATTTTGGAACACTACAAAAATTATCAAAATACAACGAGTAATCATCAGGTAATAAATTTTAAACAGGTTGGCAGTAGGGCGATAATAAACAGGTTAAACACCTATAGTTTAATAAGTCAAAAATTACACATTTTTACTTTGATTTAGATACACTAACATTTAAAAAAAATCATTTGTTGAATAACTTAAAAAAAAAACGTGATTCATATTTAATGAACAAAAATTTGTATTACTATAAGACCCTTCTTAAATGGTACAAATATTCAAGAATACAAATACATGGTCTTTAAGAATGTTTTAAAAAGCCAAAAAAATATATGTAAATATATATTATTATAATAAAGTGTCAGTAGTATTAACAATCTCAATTATAAAATTGCTCTATAATATAGTATAAATTATAATGAATGATTTTTTAAAAGAATATTATTCAACTTTTTTTTAAAGATATATTATTTAATTTTTGTTTTAAATTTTTCAATGCAAAATAAAATACTAATTTTAAAGCATAAGACAGGTATGTACTTAAAACAAATTATATTAAAATAAACACTAATACATACAATAACATTAAATATTATCAAGCTAAATTTTCAAATTTATTTTAAACTAAAAAAATTCAAAAATAATGTCAATTTATATTAATGTTATTATTTTATTATTTTTTTTTTTTTAATTATTTTCACTAAGAATTTATTATTGGAAGGTAATAATAATTTATCTATTTAATAAAATTAAAATTCATTAAAATCAGACTACAAACAAATTTTATTGAATTAAAAAATCAATCAACTAGGATTCAATATATATATATAAATGACCTTTAATGACATACTTAATAAATCAATAACACACTTTTAATAATTGTATACATTTAAACGTACATTTGAATAATAAAACAATCTATCAAAAATTCATAGTTAAAAACCATTCATAATTTATGCACATATTAAAAGTATAAAAATAATTACCTTATTAAAAAAATACCTAAAGGCCATTTATACTGATATATAGGTAATATAATTCCTACAAACTAAGATAGTTAAAATTTTATAACATTAAGTTATAATTTATCAAGATAATTTTAAATATAAACATAATAATATATAATCTATATAATCATTGAATTTCTTTTTCTTATTTTTAATTTTTATCAATTTTACTATCTTTAACATTTAATAATATTTTGTATTTATTTTAATTAGGAACAATTCCATGATAAAAAATTACAATAATAATTTATAGTAAAAGAAATGTAATTTACCTGATATACTCCAGCACCTCGAATTGTTGGCACACATTGACCAAGCATAAAAAAATGTGCACAAAATGGGTTTGTAAAGCATATGTCATTGGCAGCCAATGCCCAACGCATTTTATTTGACATTATTAAATTTTTCCAACTAAGTGCACCTAAAAAAATTCAAAATTGAGTTGACTAAAAAATAAAAGTTAAAAGAAAATTCTATATCAACATACCCCAAATACCAGGATCATCAAAACAAGAGTCATGATTAGATACTGTAATGAGAGGTATGTGCTTGGGTCGATTGATCGCTTTGTCAAATGAGACGAGATTGTATACTTTTGCCTTGTTGAACCATTCTATAAAAAAACACACAGCATTCAAGAGGAGTTCCTTAGATGTGTTGAAAAAGAGTGCGGATACTTACTGATGAAAATCTTGCTAAATATCCCAACAGCGGCTAATGTGATGCAAGAAGCAACGTTCCAAAATAACCGTCGATTCCTGAGTTTTGGCAAAACCCAATCAATGTTGTACTCTTTCTTTACAACCATGGTTGATTACAGCGTATTACATCGGATTTGGATTTTTCTTGAAAATATCTGTTTGCACGACCTTCTTTCTGGTCGCGTGTTACTGGCAACGCGCACGGTTTATGAGGGCACTACTCATCGATTTGTTAACGCATACATGAATAACGAATATTAAACAATACCGGGAAAGGTATAACTATCCTGAATTTGTGAATAATAAATGAGAATAATAACGGCAATTATGTACAATAATACGTAATAAAAAAAAAAATAAATAATATGTATTAGGTATGACGACGGAAACGACACGGGATAGCGAATGCGGCGACGGCCAACCACCACACTACAGCGCCGAGCTGAATTACATATTATTGGCAATATTATGCACTATTATTATTATTATTATTACCGTTCCGCACGGGCACGACGGCAGCGGTCGTTATCACTTATCTCATGGTCGCGGGTTCCCCGTGGTGGTTATGACGGTAGATAACGGACACGTCGGGCAAGCGCGCGCAAGTGTTCCTCCCACCATAACTATCGACTGACCGCGGAGGAGACCATCTAAAATGTATACGAATATTGAACATTGTATAAACGTAAAAAACAACCGTCGACTGGCCGACCCTGAACCCTGGAAGCCTTGACAACCCTGATTATGTGTTAGTAACAGGTTGACGGTAATGGTTACTGGTATTGACTGGACGGGCCATAATACCCCATGCAAGTCCGAAGTAGAAAATTTCCGGCTACGTTTTTATAAGATAATCTATAATGTACAAAGGTATTAATTAATTAGTACTAAATAGAAGTACCTACCTACCAATCGGTATAAAGTGATAACATATAAATTCTATCAAAAAACCAATTATTCGTTTTAAAACATTTTAATATAGGTATATGCGTTGTATATCTATAGTTATAATATTCTGACTATAGACTTCATGATTGATGAACAGTTAAACCTGCCGCTACTAAAAAACATTTTAGCATAGCAATCTTAGAAAATCGTTTTACAATATTAGACTTGTCAAAATATAATATTACTAGAAATTCGATTTTTAAAGCAAATATACATTTTATATAGATACCTATCTATTCAATTTTTAGATCGACTTGCCATTCTACATTTTACAAGGGGACTCAGAAAAAAAATTACCTGCCAGTGTCTACGATAGATGTAATTTAATATCTAAATATAGATACTATAGTCTGTGATGTATAAATACGGCTAACTTCAGGTCAAATACATTTTTAACATTCACATACTGCCATACTAACTATTACAAATTTAAAATTAATATGAAAATTAGGTATATATTCTTGAATTAAACATGTTATCTACTACAAAACAGACCTTCTGATTCAGATAAGAGGGAGACCAGAACATTTTAGGAACAACATTCTACATTATAAAATATGTGTTTATAAATAAATATAATAGTCTTAAAAATATCAAATTGGGTTCATTGTGTTTTTTTCTAAATACAAATTGAGGTATAGAACCTAAGAAATTATAGTAAAAAAATTATAAATTTCAGTGCAGTCAAAACAATAATTTTCTTTTGTTGACATTAAATATTATTAAGTTGTAAATTTGCATTAAACACAATATCTGAATAAAATAAATATAATTTTATGCCACTACCACTCTACTTTAATCACTAATATTCATCGGATGATACTACAAAATACTTTCTCAATTTTAAAATTTTTCTATGCGTACCATAAATTATAATACTATCTACTATACTGGCTTGACTTAATTGAATAAAATCAGGAAGCCGGTGCTAATTGGGTAAATACTAAATAGCATAGAAGCAAGTAAGGTAATTTTTTTGATTTAGAAGAGAGGGCTATTTATATTGTATCAGCAGCACAGATATATACAGATTTTACCTCCGCACTCAGTAATTTAATTAAAATTTGAACTTGAAATGCCTATAAAAAATATTTTCCTAAATACATTTAGGTACAAAAATAAAAGTTTTTATGGATATATAATCACACAATAGTTTTCAATTATTTTAATTTATTGAATTTCGTCAAATTCTTACTTCAAATGTATGTAAAAAAAAATGTGTACAAGTATTTTTAATATTTTTATATAGATATAATAAAAACTCATGTGGAATCTTATATTTTTAAAAATTTTTACCCAAAAATTTAATAATTTTTTGCAATTTTAAAAATAGCTCAAAAATAGTTGAAATTTTTTAAAAATGTTCTCATGTAATGAATATGATAATAGGTGTATTTGGTGAAAATTTTAAATATCTACAATTTTTTTTTCTGTATAGCAAAATATCTGAAATTGTTTTAGAAAAATATTTATTTTATATGTGAACATTAAATCTCGTAAAAATTTAAACTTTAAATGCTTATAAAATGTTAATTTGACTTTCCAGTAGAATTTTTTTTTTTTTATATTATTTGAAAAACTTTTAAAGAACCTTGGTTTACATTTTCAAATTTTAGGTAAAAAAACAAAAAATTTTACAAATTTTGTCAATATTTTAATTTTAAACGCTTATAAAAAACGCCGTGATCATAGATTGTTGATATATGTATTTTAAATGAGAAATTAAAAACTTATGAGAAGCTTTGTATTAAATTGTCAAGCTTTTTTACCCGGTGAATAATTTTTAATCAACTTTTATAGAAAAAATTTAAAAAAGTTTAAAATTTTCATATTTTTATTTATTCATAAATTATAGAGTTCCAAATATTTTACAACCATCTATCAAGTAGGCAATTTAATGTTAAATATTATTATCTAATTAAAATATTAAAACAAAGATTGAGTTTACTACATAGTTTTTAAATTTTGTCTAAAAACCTTGAACATATCCATCATTTTAACGGTTTGCCCTCTTCTAATGAAAATTAATAATTATATATGGTTGGATATGTTGATGAATAATTGTTTTTTTTAAGGGTTCGTATTTTTAAGTAGTATCTCTAATTTTTGAATTTAATATTTTTTTGTTTATGTATTTTTAAATCAAACTTTAAATATAAATAAAGTTAGTTTACAGGAATTTGATTATTCCATGACAAGATATTTTCTTATGAATGTTTTAAGCATGCTGTAGGCTGTAGATACTACTATTATTTAATACTAAATTAAAAATTTAATAGATTTTGTTTTATTTAATTTAGTTCAATAAAATATTGATTTTCAATAAATAGGTATAAATGTATCTAAAGTAATCAAAACTTATATCAATAATTAAAATAAAATGATGCGAGTAAAAACAAATTTATGTATAATTTGTTTGATAAAATATGTTTATATAATATTAGTGTTAAAGAAAAAAATCATATTAATTGGAAAAACTCGCATATAACAATATAGTCATCGATTAAACTCGTTGGTGTCTAAATACTAGATAAACACTGAAATTCAAATAGCTCAATTAATTAATGATGTTTATATAAAAATGCTCAAATTCTAGCAGAGCTACCTTGAAATAGATGATACTTAATAATAAATTTCCATTAAATTTATAAATTTACCATAGCGTATTAGTGTATAACTATCTATAAAGTTATATGCATATCATGTACCTATATAGTGTATACATTTTAATATTTTATAGTGTGTAGAAAATTTCATTTAAAATTTATATTTTTTATTTATTTATATTTACCAGACAATAATTAAACTAACACTATCCATTAATTTACTTTCAGTTATCTTAGTGGTATTGATTATTAGAATGTGGAATATTGATGTATTAATAGTAATAAAAATAATAATTAATTACATCTTAAGTAATTATGTATAGTCAATTAGATATTAGATAAATCTAATCTGTAGTTATAATAATAATTAATAATGTATGTAAAAACCGGGTAAAAGACTTCAACGCGTTCTGATCATAAACCATTTATAAATTGGTGGAAAAGTTATTATAATACCCGTAAATAGTAACACCTCCATAATAACCACAATTTTATACTGTGGTAAAAACCGTTTCGGTTGAAAAATTGAGATTATAATAGAATATTATAAAAAATACAAACATCTACATTTATTTACATTGTACTTAGACTAATCCTCGATTATTGTGAAGTGTGAAGATTGTTTAATTCATCCGGATAGCAATATATTTTCAATTTAAGTTACTGAGGTAGATCAAATTTTCATTTACCAAACTTGCAGATTCGTTGTATCTTTGTGTTTGATGAAACTTGTAAAATTTTTTTTAGTAGAATATATTACATTGCATTTCTTTCATCAAACATCAATGCTAATTTGTATTTATATCCATATTTAGTAATGAGAATGCGCATGAATGTTACCTTGAAAATAAAAATAATAAAAATAAATTAACACCAAGAAATAAGTTTCAAAATTAGTTAATGCATAATTATTTTTGTACTTATTAAATTATGATTTTGAGTAATAATTAAAGTTTATACATATACTTATTGTCAATTTTAAAATGTTTAACTAGTATTTTAACTTAGCTTTGAAAATAAAAATGTTGAGTTAAGTCCAAACAGTAAACATGGAATAATATTTGGTATATACTACGTAACATACGCTAATTATTAATTATAATTTTAATTTTTAATTTATTACTTTGTGTTTATAGCTTGTGTTATTACTCTTTTCTAGAGCAAGGACTTTCATGCACTATAAAAAATCATCAATTATGCATTTAAAAATATGCTCTTAAGCATCAAAAAATTAAAAATATGCAGTCAAAAAAATGAATACACTAAAATTTATAGCTCTAAAAATTATATTTTTTCTTTAAATATTTAATTTTAATCATTTTATATTAACTCTTTATAAGTTTTAACTAAATTTGGTATCACTTTATTGTAATCTAATCTACAGATTCGCAACTATGATAAAATTAATCTCTTTCGTCTTTATGAGAATATAGAAACAGTTAAATATAATAATTTGTGTCTTTAATCATGAAAAATACTTAATAAAATACATGATTTTCGAAAAACCTTCAAAATATGCATTACAAACTAAAAATATGTTCTTATAATCAAAAAATATATACTTTAAACCCAAAAATGTCAAAATATGCAAAAATATGAATTAACAACTTTGAGATTTTGGTCATAAACATTGTGAAATGTATTGTGTACTTACTCTGCTTACGAAAAAGTAAACCAGAAAAAATAATATGCGAACACATGAAAGTCCTTGCTCTAGAATCATTTCAAATTTAAATTTTGTGAATTGTGATTGCGATGAAATTAAATGAAATGTACAAATGTCCACTGCGATCTACAAGTGCTAAATAATTGTTTTATCGTGAAATTAATTATGTAGGCAGATAATTCTATAGCTCAAAGGTTGACCACCTTTTTATCTTTAATTGTAGACAAATCAAAAAAAAATAAAATAGAAGAAATGAATGTACTGAAATTTATAGATATTCCTGAACCCTT